TTCCCCCCCCCCGGCGCCCTCCCCGCGCCGCGGGGGGGAAGAAAAAAGGGTATGTGAAAAAAATACTTTTGGCAGCTGGGTGGGCCGGGGGAAGAGAAAATACCCCTGGGAGGCCTGGGGAGAGAAAAAAGTCCTCTTATGGTCAGAGGGGGGACTGGGAGATGAGAAAATGCTACTGGTGGCCAGTGGAGTTGAGGGGAGAGAAAACACCTGGCGAAAGTAAATAAGGAAAATGTGCTTCCATAACACAAGAACTAGGGGTCACTAGATGACATTAATAGGTAGCAGATTTCAAACAAAATGAAGTATTTCTTCACTCCGCTCCTTGCCAGAGGCTGTTGTGAAGACTAGGACTTTAACAGGTTAAAAAAGAGGTCCATCAATGGCTATTAGCCAGGATGGGTAGGAGTAGTGTCCCTGGCCTCTGTTTGTCAGAAGCTGGGAATGGGTGACAGGGGAGGGATGACTGGATAATTACCTGTTCTGTTCATTCCTTCTTGGGCACCTGGCATTGTCCATTGTCAGAGAACAGAATACTGAGCTAGATGGACCTTTGGTCTGACCCAATATGGACGTTCTTATGGTCTTATGTTCCAAACTTTGCTGGATAAATTGGGGGTTTCTCTAGCAGAGGGCAAGACAGAGGGTATCCTCCTGTAAGCTGGCCTACCTGGGCATTCAGCTAGACACATTAATGGATATATATTGACAAGGGCCACCAACTAGGGAAGGAGGGCAAAGGGTGCAATTGCAGCCAGGGCCCTGAGTCCTTTAAATCACCATTGAAGCTCCAGGCAGCACTGAGGGCTGGCTGGGGGTGGCTAGCCCCTAGCTCTGCTTCTTCCATCTGATAGCCTCCAGGGATCCCAGAGCCAAACTGCCACACATATTGTTCAGGGCTAAAAGAAGTGTGTTGTTATCCCTGATCTTGACTCTGTCAAGATAAGCCTTCGGTGCTATTGGGCGTGATTAGCGAGTGTAGACAGTCCAAAAAAGTTTAATTTCATGCACTAGCTACTATTAGTGATCATAACTTTGCTTGTCAGGTAATATCACCTGGATGGGCATTTTGCACCCAGCTTTCAGTCACCACCACAGAAATAGCTAGGCCTCACTGTTTTATAAGTTACTAAAGAGAAGAAAGAGGAGTTGGCAGCAAAGGAACAATCCAAGCCATTTCAGTGGAGTTTCCTTGTAGAGAGAGGAATGGACACTTGAGGCTGATATGAAGATCCATTCATTTGCTTTGGGATAAATGTGCGTTGAGGTATTTTACCAAGACAGGCGGTATACTCAAGAAGTGGCTCTCCACCTCAGACAGACAGGCCAGACAGATGGTGGTCTGGATCTGAAGGCACAAGTGGCCAGCAGGTTATTCCAGTTCCTAGGCATAGGGGTGCTACTTCCACCCTAACTGCCAGCTCCTCCTATTGCCAGGAGCCACAGACAGTTAGACCTGTGGAGGTCATGCCTGCAGGTGAGAGAAGATGCAGCAGAACCCCTTAGCTGAACCTACACCTAGGAGCCAAAGTAACATGTCGCCACTTCCCAGTAGCCACCTGAGGCAAATGCCACCTGCAGTCTGCACCCCTCACCCTCGCATACATTCCAACCCATGGCCTCAACCCAGAGCCCCATCCCTGTCCACACCCCAAATCCCTCATCTCTGCCCCCACCCCAGCCAGAGCCTTCACCCCCTCCTCACCCCAGTTCTCTGTCCAAGCCCAGTGAGTGAAGAGGGTAGGAGAGTGAGCAACAGAGGCATGGGGGATGGAGTGAGCAGAATGTGGCCTTGAAGAAAGGGTAGGAGTGGGATGGTGTTTCCAGGGGGTCCAGAACGGGAAAAGAGAGTTAATTTTAAAATCTGGCAACACTAGAACTGGTACTGGATGTGATTATGTGTCACCTTAAGGGAGAAAGTATTTGAGAAAGTGTAAATGAGTAGACTGTATGCTCAGAGCCAAGAAGTTCTTGGGAAAAGATCCGAGAACTTTTCTCAGGAACAAGTTATTTGGTCTGACATACTGCAAATCAGGGTAGGGCAGGGAGCCATGATGCCCCTGTGGGTCAAAAAGTCTAGGAGCCATGTAAACAGTGAGGTAGCCAAATTCATGTGTAGGCCAGATCTACACTCATTTAGGTCACTCGTGCGTTTGAAAAATCCAAATCCCTGAGGAACACAGTTAAGCTGATGTAATCCCCAGGGTAAATGGAAGAATTCTTCTATCTGTCCACGTAGTTATCATCTCTCATGGAGATGTATTAACTACAATGGAGGAAAGTACTGAAAATTGTGAATAAGGCCAAATATCAGTTTCAAAACTGAAATTATGTGTGTGGGATATGGAGAGAATTGACCCCAAAGGGAATCTTCTCTGATGAATCAAAGATTCAGACAATACTGAACATGCATACTTATGATGAAGAAGAATCCAACAGCCTGTAGACAAGGTGACTTACATCAGCAAGTGTCTCTTTAACTATACAGTTTGCACAACCCACCTAAGACATCTCACGCACAAGATCACCGACTGGGTGTGAATACCAAGGCATGAAAGAGTTCAGCAATTTAAAGCGTGTTCTGACATCTGCTTAATTTCTCATTAACTTTTTTATACTCATTCACAGACGTCAAAATCTACAGATGCCCCCAAAATAGGGCTAGTAGCAATATTACATAGCATCATAGAACTGACTCATTATCAATCTCATATACACCTTGGGTTATAAAAGTCACACAGATGTACATACAGACAAACTAGATCTGGTGTACGGATGTACAAGATTACACAACTTTATGTTTGTAACTTCAAACGAGAAAACTGATCACTGACTGCCATGTATAAAACATGGCTTGGAGAGGCACAACACAGGATAAAGTGAATACTGTTGAAAATATGTAAGCATGATGTGGCCCCGGATGCCACTTATTAATGGAAGACACATACTCAATAGCATATGCTCCAGCTGACAATACATAGCCTGATGATATGGAACAATTAGCAAATATTCCTGTGAACCTGATAAAAGTCTTACACGGGTAGCCATGTTAGTCTGTATCTACAAAAATAATGAGGAATCCTGTGGCATCTTAAATACTAAGGCTATGTCTACAATGGCGGGTTCTTGTGCAAGAATTCTTGCGCAAGAACACATCCACACTGCCATGTGCTTTTGCGCAAGAGCATCCATGGCAGTGTGGATGCTCTCTTGCACAAGAAAGCTCTGATGGCCATTTTAACCATAGGACTTCCTTGTGCAAGAAACCCCTGCCCCAGCCGCACTGCCCTCTTGCGCAAGCCCTCTTGCACAAGAGAGCTTACACTTGTTAGAAAAGAGCATAGCTCTTCCGCAAGAAGCCCTGACCATGCTTTACCAGGGAGAAACCTGGGAGGAAGAAGCTGGAAGGGGGAAGTAAGGGGAAGAAAGGGGAGGGGAAGCTCAGGGCTCAGGGTTAGGGGTCTCGCCGGACCAACTTGATTTTCATGCGAATCTGCTCCTGGGTTCGCATGTGGCCTTTGGTGGCCAGGCAGGCAGCTATCCTGCTATAGACGACCGCATTCTTCTGTCTAGTGTGGAGATCATGGACTTTGAGGGCATCCCCCCCAAACCGGAATAAGGTCCATGATTTCCACCCTGGATCAGGAAGGTGCCCGCCTTCTCCAGGTTCTGGCAGGCTCCTGGGAGCTGGCAGACTGCTCCTGGGGAGCGGTGAAGGGCTGGCTGCCAGTGGCTTGCTGGCTCATGTTTTGGGGCCACTGGGTCAGGGGCAGTGACTGCTGGCTCTGGGCTGGCAGCTTGGAGCTGGCACAGGCACTGTGACCAGAGTCTACCCCTTTAAGGGCTCTGTAGGGGGTGGGAGGAGGAGGGAGAGCCGTGTTCTTGGTTGAGGCTGGAGTAGCC